GTGGCAAGCATCGCATCGTCATAACTTTTTAATAGATATCTTACAAGGGAAAGCAGTGTGCTCAGCTCGTCCACACGAATCTAAAGTATGCAACACTGTAACCAGTTCCAGACGGATTCGCGATGTTTCCCTACCGTATTTACCGTACACCTTAGATTTTACTGTGACGTGGCATACCTTAGGATGTGTCTGGATAAGCTGGCTTCGACATTGCTTTTCCTTTTAAAAAATATCTATTTAGAAAGTTGTGTCGATGCGACGCTTGCCACGGATTTTTATGTGAAATCTTGTTCTTTTTTGCAGAAGTTATGAGCGGTATTGTAGTTTCCTGCACCCATAACGAGTAACGTGGGTAACCCTCAAAGACGTAGAATAAGTTCCCTTAATTTACGTCTTTCCAAGCGAAATTAACGTTTTTAAAAAAGGCATGAAATGTTTTCTAGCTTAGCGACAGGCAGCTGTCTCTAACATCATTATTATAATCAACACAAGGTTGTAAAGTTTTTTTTTTACAGTTTTCTCAGAGGATGTTTTGTGTTAATTCAATGAAAATACTTTTAGAGTATCCCAAGTGCAACCATTTCGCCTGCCAAATTACAAAGATATGTGCTGGGAAACGCAAATTGGCCAGGTCAGTTTCTTTTGGGTACCCTTTTTCTCAAATCTTTTCAGTAAAGTAGCCATAAGAAACATTCTGTAAAAGTTTCAACTTTATGCCTAAGATCCAGCCTTGCTGTTCCTTCCCTCTAGGTATCACTAAATTTTCTGCTAAGCCAGTCGCGCTTGAAGTGGACATCGACGATTGCAGAAGATGAAGCCGCGCTACTCTTGCGATACGCGCACGACCTTTTCGCCCACATCTTCCTCTTTCCTCCATTCTTTTCCCCCTTCTACCCTTAAGTAGTCTTCTGGAACTTTATTGTTTTGTGTTTATTGAAGAGATTAATTTGTCTTTCTAGATGTTTGATGTTTTTTCCAATTACTTGTCGACCAAGACCCATTTTCGACACATTTCTGCTTTCCTCCTTTTGGCTTAGGAAAAAATACTGGATAAGAGCAATTCATGCTGATATTAGCTATAATGCTTCTCGTTTTTCTCCTTCACGTTGAGAAAGCCACATGTTCGCTGCAAAATTGACGCTTGTGCAGTAGCGGTATACTGTACAAAAGCATATTTCTTGCAATTATCAGAAAACTACTATTTAAAAAAACCTGGAAATCTGAATAGTAAGTTAGTTGATACGGGCAATATCTTGATTCATTCCAAAATTAAGGTAATTGCTGTGGTAGATTGTGGATTAGCTACTAACCTTACAGGGAAGGGATTGCAATATGAACAAGCGTAGTAAATATACTATATAATGTAAACATCTCATGGCAAATACTTAGAGAAACTCTAGCATGGGCCTCGCTGCTATTTTGCGCATTGAAAAAAGTGAAAATTATTTTCGAGTGAAAATCGAATCAATTGGGCATGCATATCTTGCGCTTTGTGTAAATCAAAACCAAAAAGCGTACAGTGATCTTTAAGGTGCGGTTGTTTCAATTTGAAGAAGTCAAAATACTTAGTAATCAAAAATTTTAGGAGATAACAAAATTAGTGGTGATGGATCTACTGATGACAATAGCTGCCATATTAGTTATCGACTTCTTCCGGGGCCTTTTATGTCGTTACTGTAATTTGTGGTGGTTTTGGAATCTCGAAAAAACATTCGTGAGTTATTTTCCCATTTAAATGTAGTAAAAATCT